GCGGCGCGGCACGCGTGGCACGCGTGGCACGTGTCCTGACAGGGGCAAAGACGTTGCACAGCTCTAAAAAAGATACCCTGCACAGTGGCAAAGGCCATCTGCTGTAGGCCAACATCGACGTTGCATAAACTCTGGCGTTTTTGTTTTTTTGAACGCAAGCGCCAGGACCCTCGTAAGTTCATCGAGAAACTACAACGTGCTGTGAAACATGCAAATGCATGCTCATTGCAGTTTTGTGAGGCAAACGTGCAAAAGCAACAGGATTTCCAATAGTTAGCCTCTGACTGGATATGTGTACGTCCTTTGGCAGCTCTGTTATTCTGCAAGTCTGGAGTTCTCTTGTTATGTAATGTGCAATGGCACTATTGAAGCCAAGCATCGTTTCGCTTACACTATTGCAATTGCTTTCTACAAGTAGGTTGGAGACCATCGCTCTAATGTAGGTTGGAGGCCATCACTATTAGGTTCCTTAAAGTCCGTGTCCAAACCTTGCGCGGCCGTCGAAGTCTGTGACTCGTCCGCGAGTCACTTGGGACCACCGAAGGGTTTAACGAAGACTTGGCCTTGGCCTTGGCTGTAGATCCTTTACCGAGGGTTTAACTTCAAGTGTCCCTTCTAAGCCAAACGTGTCAACAAGCATACAGTAGTAGTAGTAGTAGTAGTAGTAGTAGTAGTAGTACTAAATCCCTTATGAACCAAAAAGGGGGCAAGGGTCTAAGTTAAGAGTGTACCAAAGGGAGGCATATAGTGCTGAGTTGGGAAAGTCGGGAAAGGCCCAACCAGTGAAGTTATGGGAGAGGGGTCGATTTAGCGCAGACCGTCAACCAGGACTGTCCGTTGTTCACCTGGGAGGTACTCCCCTTTATTCATCAACCATCAACCAATAGCTGGTGTCCACGCGAACCGTGCCCAGCCCTGAGGCCCCAAGCCAAACAAAGGCGCTCCACCATGCGTTGGTTGTCACGCTTCAAGCTATCAACAGCCTGACGTGCAACACGTGTGTGCAACACGGGGACGCGTGTCACGCGCGGGTTGTCAGGGGGCTCACAGCTTCTGAAACCTGAAAAGAAGGACCCCCAGTTGGAGCCTTTGCGAACGTTCAAAATTATGACACATTTAACCAAAGCAAGCATCAGGAGCTTGCAAGATGTGGGATTCTGCCTGGATGCGAGGCTAAGCTCAACATTCCTTCAGTCATGCCTCACACCTGACAGAGCTTCAGACCTAACAGTCCGTTGAAGAACCGTTGAAGAACCCAAACACTACATGCAACTATCTCAAAACCCTTTCAGATCTATCTCAGACTATCTCTTTTTCGACTGAAGCCTCGAACCAAGCCCTCTGAACCCGACAGGGAATGGAACAGCACAGCGCAATGTCCGGTGAGCTCTTTGGCTTCAAACCGAACAGAACACCGCCCTTTCCGCCGCTGGGCGAAAGCCTCCTCCTTCCGCTTGGCCCGGGAGACCCGCATGGCCTCGGCACCTGAGTGGCAAAACATTTGTGAATGAAAGTCAATGTTGACTCTTTTGGTGAACAAACGGGCTGATTGAAATCCAAAATATGGGAGAAAGTTCTCTATTCATCAAGGATCCATTCGTGTTCTTCTCATGTTTCCTCTCTGCTCATCCGTTCCGTGCGAAGTCGAGTCGAGTCGAGTCGCTTTGTTCGGGAGCCCCGGACGCGCGTGCATGACTTCGGCCTGGCGCTCTGTCTCCAAGGCCTCCGACGGAAACACCGACGCGGGGTGTGACGACGTCGGACATTCCCAACACGGTTGGCGTGTTTGTCGCGCGGTTCGTGAAGGCTGGGTTCGTGAGGCCTTGAGGTTTAGCCTTCCGAACCCCCGTTGATGCCAATCGGAAATCCAGAAGAGGGAATCTGGAATCTGAGAGAGAAGTAGGGCTGAAGAGCGATTGCTGAAGGTCTCCTTTCTTTGGCCCATGGCTGTACCAGGGTCTGGCATGCTTCAAATGGCTTCAGCACAAAGACTTGTTGCTCTTGCAGTTGGGCTGGTCAAGAAACATGATCCAAAACTTGTTGTAGTATATAGTGCTCCAACTTTGTTTGTTGGACTGTGAGTGAGTTTCCCAGTGTCCTTCACCACACTAACGCACCCAAATGCTGAGTCATGCGAACTCAGCTCAGTTTCCACCAGCTTCCCTTCACTCGTTCTACACCTTTTGCTTGGCATTGAAAAGCTTTGGCTTTGAAAAACATACAAACATCTCCTTGTGCCGAACTTGGGGCCCTGGCGTCATAGTAGGATTCGGCATTCTCCACCCTTTGCCTCCATTCGTCATAGTCGGGCGGACGGGCACGAGGAGGGCACGAGGAGCATCGGTTTAAAAGGCGACTTGTTTCGCCTCACCCGAAGAATCCTCTGACTGGGCCTTCTTGGTCTTAGCGGGGCTCAAAACCTTCTCCTTCTTCTGGCTCGTCCAGGCAACCCGAACCAAACCCTTCCCAGTGGTGGCATGGATTCTTAGGGCAGAAAAAGAAATGGACATCGAATTTCAATGACGTCCGCTTCCTCGAAATGGTCGAGATCGTTCAAAGAACTCGGAGAAAACATCCTGGTCGGAGAGATTTTCTCTCCATTGCCAACACCTCTTATGTGTGTGTGGAACTGCAAAAAACTTGGCGATGGTTTCACTGCCTATCACTGCCTTTGTTTTTGACTGACACCACCAACACCCGGCCTGTGGGCATAAATCACTCGGTGCAAATGCTGGAAGCGTAGACGGTCTAAAGCCACCAGCTCCTGAGACAGCGAGCGACCACGTGGTAGACTGGTCTCTTGAAAAAGGGAATCCCGCAAAATGTTCACATCTGGAAGAGCGGGAAACCTCTCTCTGAAGATGCATTGTGTTCTGCCTTTTGGAAGCGGGTGAGGTGAAGATAAGGTAAGAACTGAGGCCATCAAACCGGTAGCTGGGGAATGCTCCTGTTCCTTTCTTGCTTGACGATCTTCTCACCACACGTGACTTTGCAAAGTCTCAAAGCCACAATGTCAAACAGCACGAATGTCAAATGCCTGTTTTGCTTGATTTGGTGCTTCGCGAGGGTTCTGAGGTCAAACCTGGACATTCTGCTCAAGCAGCCCAAACTGTGGCAGATCGGTGGCATCTGCCGGTGTTTCCAAAATGAGCACTCACCAATTCTGCACGTGTTCACCTATTAAGGTCCCTTTGTGTCTTCTTGTTCTTTCATGAGTCATGTCTCGATTACTTGTTTCGAGCGATAAAACTTCGAGCTTAATCAACCAGCTTGAGGTGGATACATACTTCGTTGATCTTTGTTGTATGCGAAATAAATCCCAGCAGCCGGGATTAAGTTCTCTCTCTCCGGTTATGCTACCGACCAACCTCTGCAGATCCTGGAGATCCTCACAGAAGCAACCTTCCAACACACCCCAGACCTGCCTCCGCCTGATCCCAGGCGGGCAGGCGCTCCTGGATGAGGCGAGGGCTGGCAAGGCGGGCAGGAAGATCGATGGGTTTGACCACCAGGACCTGGATGGGTTTGAATGGTCGAGTTAGCTTGTAGTTGGTTGGTCAGTGATGTTCCACATATTCCTCCGACTCCAGAATGGCTCTTGGGCTCCAAGAAGTTACATTTTATACTCCAGAATAGCCATAGACTGCACCAACAGTGGTCCCCAACAGATAGAAACGGTGTCCAATACATGTTAAAAGGGACTTTACTTTCCTATCTATTTGAGGGTCGATATTTATAATATACAGTGATACAGTGTTTCAGCCATTGTTCTTCTGTGGATGCTTCTCAGTTCCCACCCAAACAATTGCATTAAAAAAACACCAAAAACACCGGAGGACGTCCGCCTCCAGCGTTGGAGGCCTGGAACGTGAAAAACCGGTACCATCGGTATCATGAGTTTCAATTCGAGCCGATTCTGATGATTTTAAAAAATAACCATCCTGGAAGACCCTCTGCATCTTGAAAGACCTTTGGATTCCAGGAGGAACATCACCAACCTGGTGTAACCCACCCTCCCCCAACACGTCAATTGAATTTTATGAATGGACCCTCTTCTCTTCTTCTCTTCCTCACCTTGGCCACGGACAAGGCACCGACCATTTCGCCGGAGCCCGCCCGAGCCCGCGCCCGGCTGGAGATGATCGTGAAGAAAATCGTGAGCCAGGGAGCATCCAGCAGATCGAAGCATGGACCCCATGTGTTTAGATTGGAAAAAATCAAACAGGATTCTGTATTCTGTATCTTAAAAGAACCAATTATAGGACCATAGATCTGTGCATGGATCAAACTGGATCAAAAATCGGCATCCCTTCAACCCATTCGAGCTCGCCACTCGGAAGCAAAAAACCCTTCGGATTCTTTCAATGACCCGGACGGGTGCGAAGCACAGACTCGCGGACGTCCCGAAACCAAGGTTGTCAATGGCACCGAAAAGCCGGATCGATCTCGGGAAGCACGGAACCCTGTAGAAATTCTCAGTTGTTTGTGTCCAATCAAACAGATGCTGGAGATGCTGGCCCGTTGGTGGAAAAAATACCGTTTGCTCCCTGGCGTGAAGGGACCTGCGCTGTGAAGCGTCTACAGGAGCTCAGATGGCGTTGGTGGTACTTCGGGTTGAGTAGGAAACGAGGTTGGGAGTGCACGTAGGAAACAAGGTCCTCGGTGGAGAAGCATGGAAAAGCTGGTCGCGGCAGAGCAATTCTGCTGGTTGAATTGAAAGTGTCGAAACCGTACTGTTTTTGGTATGGCTGTATCTCTCCTAAACTGAATCAGAAAAAACACCTTCCAAAGATAAACCAAGTGATTGGTAGAGTAAAGAAGACTTCCCAAAAGTGAAACGTAGAGCTCCAGCTCGTCTCTCTCGCTGAGCAAGTCACCGTGACTCTCCACCTCTCAATTTGACACTTGTGGGTGGAATAGCAAAACAACTTGAAGCCAAAGAATAGTTAATATGAAAACCGCTGAATCCCTGCATTTCATCCATTCAAACCTCACCTTTTTCAGGTCGGACCTTCCGCAGTCGTGTGCCGGTCCTTTCTTTGAAAGGACAAAGGGGCACCGGTGGACCGGAGTGAAACACGCGACAGTCATGGCGAAGGCACACTGACAGGTTCATTCTGGTGGGCCTCGCCTGCTGGGACGGCCAAAAAAAAATTGAGACATGCGTACCTCGTCTTCCACCACCCAAAAGCACGCTCCTGTGCATCAAATAGCGGTATCACAAGCTGAGTGTGAGGTTCAGTGCAATCAGGTAAAGCATGCTGGTCCCTGACCCCCCGCTTTCAGCCTTCACCTGCGCCCGCTCCGTTGATTTGAGCGAAAGTGAGCCGAGCCATGTTCCAAATAGAGTAATCAAGCTCAAAAGGCAACCACGTGTTTTGTTGTTAAATCCGTGTGTTTTTTTTTCACTTAGCCCGAACTTGGCTGACTTTAGAGGTGGCATTTGCAAGAAGCAGCCGTGCTCTAGCACCCACATCTATTTGACAAACTGCGGCACTTTTCGACAAATGATCCATGTCTTTCTCCACGGCCTCACTAGTACAGTAAAGGTGTGCAAACTGAGTAGTCCTGTCCCTTCCAAAGGATGTGAATTTGAAACTTTGTTGATATCATTGAAAAAACAACATTGCAAAGGAAGTGCTCATGGTCTAAAGCTGCATCGCTGCATATGAAACCAATCTCTAAAACATCCGTCTCTTTCCCACCGAAGACTGAAGACAAAAAAATTCCAGCTACTTGCAGAAACAGAACACCAAAAAGAGTACGTTCACTCTCTTTGCTCACTCCGAAGAGATATGTCACTCCTCTGCAGACCTCGCGGAAGCTCAAAGCCGGGCCCCAAGAGCCAGTTCTCCCCCCCCAGCCTCGGCCGCCGGGTCGCGCCTTCAAGCCTCAGGCCTGGCCGAGGCGCGGCTGACGCACCGGTAAGTAGGAGCAAGGATGCTACTAGGGGCTCCTGGCATCGCTACTAGGAACAAGGACGCTACTAGGAGTAAAGGGCATTTCTACTAGGAACAAGAAGCAAGAGCCGCGCAGATCCGCTCCGCGCAGATCCGCTCTGCTCCGCGAAGATCCGGGTTTCACGCCAAATCGAAAGCGACGAGCGGCGATCGCCCTGCTTTTTGCGCCGGAGGCAGAAACATCAGAAGCCTCCCAATGATCTTCGAACTCGAGCTCACCCAGCTGCGCCCGTCGATGGCATGTTCTTCATGTCCAATCACAAAAGGTTCGGGATATGAGTGATAAGTGAGAAGAAGATACAAAAAGCAAACTGCAAGCAAGTGAAGAGTTGTTGGTCCAACTTGAGTGGGCGCATCTCTCATCAGCACCGATGAGGCACAGCTCGAAAACTGTCCTATCATGTCCTATCCACATGCTTCCAGCCCTGGGGCGTTCAAGCTGAAAGATCGTCGCAGCACCTCCACCCCTTTCGCCCAAGTTTCGCCCCTTTCGCGACATTTCAGACGTTCCGGTCAAAGTCTTCAGGGACATCCACTTGGAACTTCCCGGAGCTGGTCCTCAGCTTCACTACACCCCAAGACAACGCATCGTCACCTCCGTCGCGTCACCTCCTCGCCTCTTCGTGCCGCGTCCGCGTCGTCCCGTCGCGGGTCCGAGTGCCCCGGCGACATGGCGGCGAACATCCCGGGCCTCGGGGCGGGCGCGGGCGAAGAGGCGCTGACGCCCCTGGTGGGAGAACAGCGGGAGGGTTCTCGGAGGGGCGGAGGAACAAAAGACTGGTCCCTTGAAACTCCAGGTGAGTTCCTAAAATGAAATCAGTCATGGGCGAAAAATTCGTTCCTCCACACCTGCCATGCGCCGCAAGTTCTCGCGGTGTTTGGATCGACAGAGAAATATGTCCCATGTCAAACGGAAGAAATGAAAAAGAAAGGCGCAGATACGCTGCCTAGCCCCTCCTAGCCCTCATGATGATACATAGAACATCTCTTTTGGGCACCTGGTAGATCCAAAGAAGAAACCTCGGAAGTGTGTCGAAAACTTACTCTCAAGAGGGCTACAGTATATTTTTTGGCTTCACCTTTCGGTTGAGAAACCACAAGAACCCAAACGAAGAAGCCACACTTTGTGTCAGGAAGGCCTTTTTCCGCGTCTAAAGGTTTCTTCGCTTTCGAAAGGAACTCAATATCCCGAGAGCTTTGCTCTGAAGACATTGACCTGCTGAACGGAGGATTGGTCGGAGTAATCACAAACTACTCGATGTTTAACAATCCACCGAAGACAAAAAAGGCACCCGCCCAGCCCAGTTCACCAATCCGAACACATGTATATGGCTTTGGGTCAAAACCGGGGAACCCTGGTTGACCACAGAACATGAACAGAATAGACTACTGGGGAGGTCAACCAACCAGGGTTCCGGTTTTGACACTCACGGCCCACGGCCATACAAGTATAATCTCTTCAGTCCTGACACAAGCACACAGAAATCTCTCTTGTTCAGCCAGGTGTCCTTTCGTTTGTGCAAGTCCCAACTGCAAACGAAATGGAGGTGGGACCACGCGAAACACTTCTTCGTCACACACGGGTGTAGAACACCTGCCGCTGTTCCAGCGCAGCTTCCCCGTGGCATATTTGAATTCAACGCACCAAAACACAAAGATCAGCGTCACTTGTGTGTAGCTCTTATAGATCTCCATGCCGCACTTTCGGCACCATCTTCAAACCTCTTGCAAAGGCCACCGGCGAGCGACGAGCGACTCATCTTCTATGCACGAAAAGCCGGCCAGCAAGAACTCACTCCGGTGCTTGTGTTTGGGGCCCACAAAAAAGAAAGGCGTCGGAGATGGGTCACCTTGCAATTGTTCATGTGTTCAACTATGTTCATGTTCCACCTGTGTGTGTCCTTTCGCTTCGCTGCGGTCGATGTCCTCCGCAACCTCCACCGCATCCATCGTTTTTTCGGCATCCCACCGATCTTTTGAGGTTCTTTTTCAATGGAGGAACTCAGAGGATGACAATGCGCACTGCTTGAAGTTTGAAGAAAACAAACACTTGGTTTTTGGATGTTTTTGGATAGCTTCTCCTGCACCATTTGACCAATTCCGAAAAGGTCCCTGCCTTTCTCAATGCCTCCAAAGCTGGACCAGAAGGGAACCAGGCCCTTTGAAACAGCATGGAATTTCACCGCCTATCCAGGCCCTTCGAGGGCCATGAACTCTGCTTGGGCCGCCTTGGGAACCAGGATTGTACGCCTGTGGAAGTCTTCACAAGGATTGTAGATACGGTATGATCAACTGACCCTTTCAAGAGCACATCTGACCCTTCAATAGATCCAAATCCATTCAAATCCATGGTGAGGAAACCTGGCAACCAACTATTCATGGACACCGTTTCACGTCGTCCTTTCGCCACACCGGCGAACGGACTCCGGACCGATCCGGCGAGATCCGGACCTGCGTCCGTCGCACTGCTTCGATCAACTCCTTGAGCTCCGGTTCTTGGCCTATGCCGTAGGCCACAGAGGTCTCAAGGAAGTCCAAGGCAATTTGCCCGTCCAAGCCCTGCCTGAAGGGGACGGAAGGGATGGGAGTCTGGAAGGTGGAGGAAGACACTGAAGAAATGATATGAACTGAAAGATGAGAAAAGGTGAGAAAGAGGAGGAGACAAGGTGCAGCACGAGCACAAGACACGACAGTCGAGTGGTTCTATTACGAGCCCTGTTTGATTGTTGGTTGCAATCCCTACCAACTCACAACCCTCACCAAGAAAACCAAAGGAACGTTTCAGTATCAACAAGCGCTTGGGTCTAGCATCAAACCGCCCCTGGAAATGGACAAGCAGTGACCTGTTTTTCGGCCAAAGCGACCTTATCATGTACTCCAGGTGCTCTGAAATGAAGTGATGCCAAACTGCCAAGATCTTGCACCAGTTCTCCTGCACAGCACGGTCTCACTCAATCATGGCGCCGTCGGCACCAACATCAGAGCTGACGGATCGGTCAGTTGCATCAAGAAGCCCGTGAAGGCAGCTTCGCTGGTAAAGAAACCCAACAAAAAGCTCGGACAGCTCTGCATGAATCCACCTTTTGGTAAATGGCTACATCGCAAAATTCATCAACGATTGCTGTGTCTTTGGGCAGGAACCCGCTCTGGAGCCTGCCACCATGTCGGCACGACGGACAGACCCAACTTCAGCATGCCAGGGTGACAACGTGTCAGCATGTTAGCGTGACCCGTGTCAGCGGGCCAGTGTGACAGCATGTCAGCAAAAACATATCAGCATGACATCATGTTTGCGAGTTAGCACGACAGAGTGAGAACATGTTAGAATGTCGACATGACAGCGCACACTGTTGACCACGCATGGTAGCTTGACCGCATGACAACTGGAAGCTGCACCCTCCTCCCCAAATAGCCTGCTCCGAAACCTGCTCCGAGATGTCTTTACTATGGTTGAAGACCGTCAAGCTTTGCCGTTGGAGAAGAAACAGCAAATTTCCCACACGCCTTTCCAAATGCAACATGTGAATGACTGTGAATGCACCAAACTACCAGGCTTTGTTTGTAAGATGTAAGCACCAAAACCATTGGCTGGCATCAACACTACTCGCATGGCAGATCTTCTTCACTTTCCCTTTGCTCCCCTACTTTTGATCCAACGATTTTTTAAGACTCAAAATGTTCAATGAAACGGGGCCCTGCAGGATTCCCATGCCCCAAGCACTCCCCATACCCCCACACCACCTCACACCCCCCAGACTTAAGCGCCCCATCCCCATCGCACCCTCCGAGCTGACGCGCGCCACATCCCGCCGCGTCCTCGATCCCTTGGGGTCGATGGGATCTCCCGTCCACATGCTGCCGCAAGTAGTCTTGCACCTCGCCACAGAGCCGGCTCATGATCCTGGCGGCGCGCTCGCGTCCCGCCAAGCTCGCCGCTTCGCGCCGCACGCCCGGCCCACGCCCAGCGGCACATGAAAAAAGAGCGACCCGAAACACGACACACAGAGGTCGTCTGCCAACAGGTGGAGGTGGCATTGGAGCTTTTCAGAGCGTCTTTCAAGGCCAAATGGACTGAAAAGATGCCGTTGGGACACATGGCCGGAGTTACTGGGTCCTAAGAGTGGACATAGGGTCAAGATGTCGTGGCGTGGTCGGAGCGTTCCAAGTCGGACATCACCTCGCATCACCTCACGCCTGGTGGCAGGTGTGCCTCCAAGCTGGCAGTTGCACATCGTGGTCTTCTTGGCCATCTTGACAAAGGGGGCGAGAATCTCCAAGTGCATCTTCAAATCCATGGCCAGTTCCTTCAAAACCGAAGTCAGACTTCAGAGCCCATATTTGGGGTGTTTGTTGTGGGCTTGAGATCTATAGCCAGATCATGCCAGATCCTTCACAATCACAACAAAAAGCAGGACAAATCCACCTCGAATCCCACGTCAGTGCTCGCCCGCTCGGTGGTGCTTCAAGAAGGCCGAAACGGGCGGATGGCTGGAGAAGTGGGAAAAGGATCGCGTGATGTTCCACTACTATATTACAATATATGTATGACAATAGTAATAGGTGAACAATGTCTTGCAAGTCACAATGTGTTGCAAGTTCACCTAAAAAAGACACTTTCTGTACTTCTCCTCTTTGATGCTCTTTCCGATGCCATCCGACGTCCAAAGCATCCGACTTCTCTTTTCACCCAAGCATCCAGCTCGTCTGGGATCGTCGTCTTCCCATAGAAGTCGTCCTCCTCCTCTGAGTCTGGCACTTCGAGCGGCTGGAAGGGGAAGCTTCGCTTTCGCAAGCGATGAGAGGTCTCTGGAACTCCTGCGCAGAGTCCGGAATCTGAAGGGAAGACAGGGAGAGATTGGCAAGAGTCAGGGATCCCCAAAAGGGTTTACTTTGTGAATCGGAATCTCTTCCATTTGGGCTCCAAATACCCCCCTGGCTGGATGTTTGGGTAGAGCTCAAGAGAGTTCAGACCCTGGACTCATGTTTCACTTTCTCATTTTGCCCCAGATGGCACACGGCAGATGTTACCCGTCACCATGCCTGCGCGCAGATGCTTTCGGTGCAGCCAGCCGTCCAGCAGGTACACCACCATCACCCTGCTGCCAATCTGATTTTTCAGAGCCCAGCCCGGCATCCAATCCCCAGCCCGGCGTGAGAAGATTTCCACGGGCAGCCAGCCGCTGCGCTCATCGCAGACGAACGATCGCATGGTAATCTATGGGGACGGGTGGAGGAAAAAGAACACGGCCAAATGGCTACAAACAAGCATGAGCAAAGCATGACATAGTCATGAAATACTGAGTCCCAGTAAACCCTAAGACCCTACTCCATCTGAGAACCTCACCCCAAAGAAGCTCTTCCTCACTTCTCTAACCATCCTCTAGCACCACCACAACCCATTCTCTGCTCTTGGCATCAACAGGAGTCTTCAACGACTCGGACAACAGCCAAACCGCCAACGCCTGAGTTCCCAACACCAGCAAAAGGCCGATCGTCACGGCGATCGAAAGGCCCAAGAAGATCATCGAGTTCTGGCCCAGTTCTCATGCAGAAATGGACGTGTGGACCTTCGTGCATGGACGAGCGAAGATCATATTCTTTAACGAAGGAGGGTTATATAGGTCGCTGGCGGTGTTCCTTCCGATGCTCTCACCCAAGTCTCTTAGCTTCCAGAGCTTTCATCGAATTCACCCAGCCGTGCTCGGTCTTGGAAATTCTCCCAGCCGTGCTCGGTCTTGGAACCCGGAGGCACGCGCCACCTCTTCGGACGACGGGTCCTACACCTCCCGGCGCCACCGGAGCCCCCAAAAGCGTGGACGGCAGCACGTCATTGAGCGTCTCCTGCTGCGAACGCTCGCGGAGCGCCACGCGCCACGCGCATCGTGGCGGGGGACCGGGAGCCTTGCAACTGCCGCGAAGCGAGTTCAGCAGAGATGACGTGCCGCCATTCTCAGGATCTCAGATCATTTCTCAATTATCATTCCTCATGTCTGGCTGGTCGAATTCTCTCAGTTTTGCCACCAAAACTGCAGATGATGGGTGTTGAACCCTGTGACGCGGGAGAACGAAAAAAAGCGGAGCTCGTTTTGGAGGGTATGGCCCCAACAAATGCTCTAAAATGGAGGTCTTTTGCTTCCACCGGTTTCTTCCCCCCCGAAGAACGACGAGTGGCCGAAGGACGCGACGTGAGCGGGTACGGAAGCCGGTTAAAAACCCTTATAGCTCGTCTCCTCTAAACTCTGCTGGGCCAAGGCGGGTGCAGCTCCACCCAACCTGGACGATGCTTTGGGAGGAAATCGGACGACCAGGAATGTGATGAAAGGACATTTTAGCCCAGGAAGCAACGGCTTTGTTGGGAGGGAATCCTGGTAAATTCTCGTCCACCAGTGAGTTCGGCTGTTCAACACCGTCTCTGTCAAAGTCTTGACCCATCTCACTCTCGAATTCCAAGGCCGCCACACAGCACCTACGACCTCAGACTGAGGTCAGACTCCAAGGACCGAGTCACACCCAACTGATTCACGTTTGCATGTTGGTCTCCAAACAGTCCAGAAATCCACTGAGGATCTGTGAGGTGACTCACTACTTCCAGAGGATGGTCTTTGTGGCTAAAGTACAAGTGCATCCTAGTCAGAATCTCTCAATTGCTCTGAAAATCTTCTTCATACCAACCCAGTCCAAAAGTCTCGACCTGCTGCCAGAGATCACTCTGTGGCTCGCACGGTAGCTCGCTGAACAGGCGGAGACAAGAAGCCCAGAACTCCTCCAGGAAGTCAGCAGAGCTACAGTTCATGGACCACAGATCCAGGAGATACCACAGGACACAGGAGATACCACAGGAGACAGGAGATACCACGAGATCACCAAGGGGGCTCACACCCTTCAGCGGAGTCAGCGGATCGAGATCACCAAGGGCTCCCCTGTTCACTGGGTCCACTGTTCCTTCCCTTTGCAAGAAAAGCGCTTAGATAGAATCCCTCCATGAAACAAAAATGACACCTCAGAATACCCAAACCTCTCTTGAGCTCCCTCTTTCCTCTCCATCGTTCCTTTTGCCAAATCCCGAGAGACCTTCCTCCCGTTCCTCCTCCCCTTCCCATTCGGAGCATCGTGGGCGCGTCCTGATGCACTCAGGCTGATGTACCCAAGTGCCAGGCCTTGGTCGTTCGTAGGGAGACCAGGCAACCGGCGCAAGATGGTGGGTCCAAAAAGGCGGAGAAACGCTATCAACTGATCAACAGAGCAAAAGGAGAGTGTTGTTTTGGGATGTTTTGGGTGTCTTTTCACTGCTGGCTCGGCCATGTCGAGACTTTCGCAGGGGGGACCTTTGGGTCCTTCGATCCTTAGCCCACGTAAAGAGAAACACGGCCCTGCCCGTCTAAGCCAACGTGTTGCCTGCACGATCCATGAGAGGGACCCAAAGATTGAGGTTGCGAAGGCCTCCTTAGTCAGCAAACTCTTACTTTGCCACAGGAAGTACCTCCCAAAAACACCCGGGCCCCCGGCTTCAAACATCCAAGTCAGCCATGGGTCGAGAACAAGCCATCTGCCGGTTTTGAGGTCGAAGTATGACCGGACACAAGGCAAACGGAAGCTCAACCTCCACCCGCGGAGGTGAGGTGCACCACCCACACCCTTCTCCATCCGTCCATCTGAACACTGCCCAACCGGGCTCGGACACAAAGCTCTCAGAAGCCATGAGCTACGCATGGCCGTCGACGCAGCGAATTGCCCGGGCGCGGAAACGGGAGGCGCGGTGCTTGACGCGTTTCGGGTCGCTGGTGCGGAGCCGATGAAAGGAAAGACCGAGGACGGCGGTGATGGCGGAGGCTGGTCGCGAGGCGATCAGGCAAGGTGGTCAGATCTTTGGATTGATGGAAACCACACCTCGTGGAGTGTGATTTAGGGGTCGGATGAGGGAACCTGCTCAACTGCTCAACTGGTTTTCTGGAAAGTCTTTGATAGATACACACTGAAAGGCTCACAAAAAAGAAAGCCGGCAGCATGATCATTCTGGATGGATGAAAGTTCTGAGAACTTAACTTGGTGAAGGCAGTTGGTGCCAACGATGACCACCGGCTCACCTCTTGATTGGATCCAAATACTCATCCCTTTGGTCAAAAGGAATCTCCAAATGTCTTCAAGTGCTAAATCCTCAACCTGCCAAATGCATTTCACAGACGTGACATGTTGTTCTTATTCCTCCGGACCTTAGAAAAACTTGCATTTGTATGCATTTGTCACATCTTCACATGTCCCCAAAGGCTAACATGCTTCCCAGTGAAAACCGCTGGCCCCCCCACACCTTGCTCTGGAGTCTCTGCTCTCGTGAAGGCTCGGTCGTGGCAACCTGGCGCAGCCCACCCAGCCAGACTGGCAAGCGGTGGATCGGACCGGCTGTGGACTCCAGAAAGGCGCAGAAAAGCGGAGGCAACTTGGGGAGAAGCTTCAAGGCACCATGACAGTTGTTGTTTGGCATTTGGCAAAACCTCCCAACAAGTGGAACTACCAGAAATGTGCCACCTCATGGTAATGCAGCCTATCTAGTCTTTCGTGCATTTTTGGGACACCCAAACCGGGACGATCCATTTTCCTAAGTGAATAACCTCCCAGCGCTCCAAACGAGTCCAAGCCACGTGGAATCCAAGTGCTGAAAGCCTCCACAGCGGATGCCAGATGCCTCAAACTGCAGTGAAAACACGCGGGGGCAAAGGATGGGGTACTGTTGCTCTAGCCCAAATCCATCCACTTGCACAGATATTGTAGGACCTGATCTGGAGCATGTGATCAGCTTGCCCATGCAAAGACAATCTCCCGTCAACTGTTCAAACCCAGTCAATCTCCTGTCAACTGATCAAATCGAATCTAACATCCATCCAACCCAGTTCAATGCCAAGAATCTCCACCCAAACCTGGAAGACCCCAATCCTCCACCATGTGTGGATCTTCCTTTCTCCCCAACCAAGTCTTCTCATCTCCCGTTGCCACACCTGTAGTGGGCGAGCCACTGTGCCGGTGCCAAAGGTCCTGCGCAGGGTCTGTCAGGGGGGTCTTCCCTACCACTGGGATCAGACCCAGATCTTCCAACTGATGTCTGCCTTCAGGCTGTGTTTTTGATGGATGAAATAAGGCAGAAATTCTGCATAGTTGGAAGATCCAGGTATGAAGAAACTCCATGATGGAGCCTGGGAGTTGTCACTTCACCCTCGACTTGGAGGGGTCTCCAGGCTTGTCACTTCGACTTCTGAAAGGTGATGGGTAGTCAAGTCACATGTTCCAAGGTCCACCGGAAAAAAAAGAAAGAAACAGACAGACCGACAGAAGACACCGAGGCTCCGCAGTTCTGGTCGCTGTTCTGAGACCTGGTTCTGGTTCTGTGGAACCAGTGGGTTGAGCCGTCGAGCCCATGTTCCAAAAGTACACCATGCAACATTCCTAACGTGAGAAAAACCATGGCAACTGTTTCGCACAGGAATTTGTCCCTCTATAATTCAATCTTTTGATGATGCTGGAAATGATATTCAGCATAACTCAACCCGCTCAATGCACCCAAAATGAACCCAACATTGCATACTCACAGTGGTTTCAGAGTAGATGACACAATCCGTAAAAGGTTGTTTAAATGGACCCCCCCCATATAAAGGAAACCACTGTATATACCGCTTTTTGCCCAGTAAGTTCCGTGAAAACTTCGTTCGCCTGAGCACCTTTTGCCTAGCCGCTGGCTGGCTTCCACAAGAACACACTGCAAGCAAGTCCCTGCTTCAAGACCCAACTTGATCGGCCGGCACAACGCCAGGGTCTAGCAAAACAAAACAAAAAATGATGACGACAACATTGACGCTTCACTGCGTCACTTCAATCTACAGGGGGTCTTTCTTCTCGGCAGCTCAAACAACTACGGAAGAGGAGAAGAAGCAACACCCGACACGGCGGAGAAGTGAGTTGTCCTTGGCTCTTTCGGCGACTCAACTCAGCGCACGGGCTGGTGGCTCCAGTGCTGCAAAGGATACCGATCTATATAATACAGTGTAGATTCAGTGCACTGCTGAGCAAAAATCTGACATAGAAATTCACTGAACTCCAAAGTCTGAGTATGTATGGCAAGACTTGTGCTGCTCTCCAGTGACCTGAAGGACTTTGGAAAGCTTTAGACTATATACTAACATGGAAGAGGAAAAGGATCCCTTGGAAGACTACTTTCCTTTACGAACAGGGGGGTTCCACTTCCATGTTACAGAGTCGGAGTGTAGACTGCAAAAGAGCAAACAGGTTCGATTCAAAACTCCAACCCAAGCAATCAAGCTGCCCTGACCGCAACGTGACTGCATCTGAAACTCTGAAACTTACTCAAAGAAACCAGCTCCATATGACGACATTGGAGAAAACAAGAGAACAAAGAACAAAAGGAAGGTCCCTGTCCATCCATCTGGTCTCAAGACTTCCAGACCCCACGGTCCCCTCGGCTGGGCTCGCACTGATCGGCACCACCGAGGACCGCAGATCGGGCGGTCGGCGCGAGGGGATCCTGGAGGCCGATGGGCAGGTATTCCGAAATAGGGAGGTGGTTGGGGTGTGAATGAGACTGATCGATATTGAAGATCACCCCCAGCCATGCATCTGAAAAAAGCGGTGATCAAGAGTGATGTATGTCTGTGTGTGTGTCTGTGCATTGAATTGAGATCTGACAGCAGACCCGTTCACCTCCCGCACTCTCTGAGTGTCTTGATTGCAACATCCTCCAATTCTCCCCTGCTCTCCGCTCTTCATCCACTGAGCTAAACCCACTGCGTCCGAACGGACCTTCTCGCACCGGGCGGATCGGCTCGGCTCCTCGTGGCCGCTGAGGTCGCGGACATGGGCGGCTCCTGACGAGCGAAGCGAAGCAGCTTGGCAGTGCGAGCGCTTGGGGGGTCGGTCCAAAAACCACTTGGACTAAAGGAAAGACAGAGTCATCCAGCGAAAATGGCTCGAGAACAATCGAGAACCAGGTGAGTTGCAGTGTTCTAGTGGAGACCGATTCACGGCTTAATTGGTGGGAAGATTGGATGGATTTGAGTTCCTTTACTTTTTTGATAGATCATCTCACATCCCAAACAAACCTGCTCCGGCGGCTTCATCCCACCCCTTCGTGCCCCATCCCGCCCCAACGTCCACACGAAACCACCCGTCCAAACCCGTCCGCCCGACGGACCGCCGGACCGACTCGTCCGGGACCAGGGGTGGCGCTCCGCGCGGTTTTGGACGGAGACGCCAGGATCTGAGGAGTCCAGCAACGAATTCCCCTGGCAGCGAGCAAAGCGACGGAGGCCGGGCGGAGGCCGGGCGGAGGCCGGGCTTCCCCAGGCGCGAGGCTGGGGCGGGAATCGTTGAACACAAAGGCTCTTCTTACTAGTTCAAGCTTTGCATTCTCATGTACAATAGGCAGGAGGCCAGCGCATGACATCACGACGCTGGCCAACGAAGCTAGTGATGTCATGGGAAGCGATCAGAGACGTCTGATCGTGTACCTGCAAACGTTTAATCCTATCTAAAGGGCTCAATTCTGTTCTCTGACCCAGCATTCTTGCCGTTGTGCGCGAGTCAAGGTCTAATGTAATCAGGAACTTCTTTTGGGGATGTCGCAACTGATAGAGCTCTTGCGAGCAATGATCTAAGTGTGTATGTCCTTCCGGACGACGGCAAAGGACTCCCAAACCATGGTGAACTCAACCAAAAAAGGGCCAAACAGCACTGTTTGGAACCGAAACGGAAGATGGCCAAACACCCAAAGAGGAAAGGATAGAAGCCCACAAATGTCGAGCCGGTTGAAGTCGAAGAACTCGTTCTCCACTTGTAGGACATCTGGGTTGGAATAAAATGCAATCTGGCAGACCTCCAGTGATGCACCCTGGAGTCAGGTGAACTTGTTCTGGAAACCTATAAATCTGAAGGAGTGTGTTGCCTTTGCAAGTTTTTCCAGGCGAAGTATCAAGAACATGTTGGTTGAAAGCTCCAGAAGCGCTGGTGAAAACCAGTGCTCCACATCTCCACAAATACCACCAAAGAAGGAAAGGGCGGAAAAAAAAGACCGGTATGGCAAAAGGAATGGTCTCTCTTGTTTAGAGAATGCCATGTATGGCTTACATCGACCCCAGCTTCGACCACGTCACACGGAACCCCCCAGTTTGGGTCCCGTCCCGTCCCGTCCCGTCCGGTCTGGTCGTCAGACATCGCCGGCGCGACACGTCCACCGGTGCCCTGGGACGTGATCGTCCTCAGCGTGGGCTCCTGGAGCGCCAAACGGGGTTCAGCCCGTGGGGGCAAGCTCCGCGTTCGTCCCAAGACAAAACAGAATGAGGTGGGGAAGAGCTGAGAATTCTGGAATTGAACATCATGAAAGCGAAGAACAGGCCAGGCAGTGGAAAATTGAACTACCTTTCAAATAAAAATTGAACCACCTCTTTCAGGTTCCAGGCATGAACATGCAAATGGAGACTTTGGATTCCAACATGTCCAACACCGGTCCAGGCCTCGTGAGGATCCACATAGAGCCGACTCCGCTTCGGCATGGACGCCATCTGGGCGGCTTAAGATACTCCCAAAAGGGGGGGTGGAATGAGAATCGGCACAAGGAGCTTTGGTCTCCCCACCCAGTGGAATGCGCCCGGCGCAATTGCTTAGCAAGCTTTGGGATACTGAGTGGGTGGATATCGCAAGAAGCAAACCAAGGAAGAGCAAAGAAATAGATTCTCCCGAGCTGTGCCAGTTTTGTCAGTGATTCAGACGTCGATCGTAGAATTGGTCCCGACCCTGCATGGGCACTAGTGAGTGCTGCAGGTCTGTCTTCAACAATGCAGAAACTACAGCACTCGATACCAACCACACTTTCACCAATGACCTTACTTCCACCTTCTCTTCACCAATGGATTTACTGGGTGACCACTCTACTTTGAGAGGATCTGCCACACCTCTCTGATTACTACACAGAGAGACCATAGGACACTAGTGTGACTAGTGTGACTGGTCGTTTGGGCCACCTGTCTGCCAATTCACCAGGGCTCCCGAACCCTCTTCCGCTCTTCCGCTTGCCGGCGGAGGGCAGCGTTGCGTATCGGTTCCATGGAGGACCTGCACCGTGGAACCGATGTGGGCTCGGGTGGGGAGTGGTGTGCCTCTTGACCTGTTGGGCATGAGAGACACCTTTTCAGGCGTATTGGAAGAGTGCAGCAACCCGCAACAACCCAAGTGGGGTTTAGGGTAACATCCAAGTGGGTCGTGGGGTCTTACAGGTAGACTCTTCTGCAAAGGGGTGCCCTGTTAGAACCGGTGGGACTTTCTACCCAGTCAGAACCCTTGGAAGATCAGTCACGATCAAGCTTAACATGCTTAACTACATGTTCAGGCTCTGCAGCTCTGCAGCTTTCTGCAGCTCTGCAGACGGTCTCGGCCACTCAGCACGGTCTCGGCTCACGCCCAGCTCGGCTCGGCTCTCCGCACGCACGTGCTCCGGCTCGCGCGCTCCAACTCGGGTGGCCCGGACGTCAAATCCAGCTGCTCCAAATCCCGCGGGCCGATCCGCACCTCGATCTCGCTCGAGGAGGTGGGTTCCGCTGAAGCGGAAGCTCCGGGCTTTTGGAGCACAACCCCAAGTACTGATCTCTATACACGGTCTAGACACATCCTCATGTAGTATGAATTGTTCAGGCGGAGTGCTGCAGAGAGAGACTATAGCAGCCCTACAATCAACGATCCAACCGACCCCCCCCCCTTCTTGGCAGAAGCCATGCCACACCCACACCCGCCACGCGCCACGCGCTTGTCCCGTGGCGTCCGGGCGGGTCGGATGTTGTCGAAGAGCCGTGGCTGATTCCGAGCCTCGGGTCGCTGGACCGGGTTCGACGTTGCCGAAACCGGCGGAACTGGGGAGGGGGGTTGGTTTGAAAGGGCACAGAGAAGCGTGGTTGATCTTGCATAGCCCCACGCCTCTGGAATCCAATCCCAGATGAACTCACAAATCACCATCAATTGCCACAGCTCAGCCATCCAACCAGCTCAGCCAGCCCCACGCCTGCCCACGCTCCAGCATATCGGTGGACCAGCGCTTCACGGTTTTGCTGCCCAGCGTCATCTGGCGCCCGTGTCGCGGTCGCAGCGGTCGCCCAGCACCCCAGCCGCCCCCAGTCGCCGCCCAGTCGCCGTTTTTCAGATTGAACAACTGGGACCCATCCAGGCATTCGAGTCCTAAATTCCAGACAGAATGGTGCCATCCGTGCGTCATGACGCCAGACCTCCTTGCTGGAGAACTTCCCAGCAGCCAGAGCTTTGGCAGAATCTGGTAACCGTTGCAGGCGGTGTCAAAGCATGCAGTTCGAGAGACAAAAACAAATGCTACGCATTGCCACGCCATAAGAAGTCTCAGGTTTTGAAGGTGCACATGACAGCCAATGGGATCGACCCTCGCATATATCTATTCCTTTCTTCCTTATGATGTTCATCTTTTTCTTCCAACGCCACCAACCCTCTATGCGGCCTCAAAAAAAAGCCCTGCGCGCCATACAATACGCGGCCCTGCGCGCGCCAAACAACCACCACCACCACCACCACCACACGGCGGCCTGCGAGGTTCTCGTAACTCACGGTCGGCTCGTCCCCCCAGGGCAGCTCGGTGACTTTGAACGTAGGCTCGCTGATGGTCCTGAACCCCGGTAGCCGCGGCCCCGTGAGCGTGCGGGGCGGCTCGGCCGTCCGAGTGTTAACCGAGACGTTGGCGGGTGGAATCAGTCTCTCCAAGTCTATACTGTAGCTTTTCATATCAAAAGCAATTGATTGGCAGGTGAAAGAGATTGAAAGAGCCCACAGATTTCACCCCTCCACTTGCCTGGGCATGGCGCGTGGCGCGCTATCGCCAATCCGGGCACTTTCGGCATTCGACACCTGGGTGCCGTCGCCGGAGGCGAGCGCTCGGCCTTTGGACGGCCATCAGCAGTCAGTGTTGATTCACTGAGGGCTGCGCCCAGAAAGGGATGTCCGGATGGTCGGAGTATTTGGGATACCTGCAGAGTCCGACGTATTCGCGGGACACAGTTCTCATGACTACGAAGTGTTTGCACTTCTCATGAACCGTTCATGGCTGCACTTGCACTTCTCGCTTGGCTCCCTGCTCGCGAGGAAAAGCTCTGGGAAAGCTGAAGTGCTGCATGTCATATTCCATCTGGCAAGAGACTGAGAGAGAGAAAGCAATAGTATGCCGCAGCATCACATACAAGGCTTTTGTGCTGATCTATGACTCAGACCCTTTGTCGAAAAAAAAAAAAAAGGTATGTTGGCATGAACATGACGTACTCTAGGCAGAACTAACTTTGTGTACCAAAGTGACATCACCTGTGCATAAAGGCTTTGGGTTGAAACCCGTGATGCAATAGACATGAGCGTCAAAGCAAGTTCACTCGAAGGCGAACGGCAAACGGCCCACTGCCACGTCGGTCGGAAAGTTCCAACCGAGCTCCGGGGCACAGGTCACTCAGGTCACTGAGTCAAGTGTCATTTCAACTATCGAGCTGACAACTTTAAGTGGTATTGAGTTACTTCAAGTGGTATTGGAGTTCGGAAATGGATCTGTCTCTCAAATACGGGAGCTCCCTTGAATCCCTTGCCCTCTTGGTAGATGGGTAAATGACCAGGATCTGTTCCTTCAAGTCCTGGAGCCCCCAAATTGGGTGAGTGGAGACGTCAGGCTCGAAGCCAGGCCTTGTCTTTCCTTCGCTGGTCCTGCGCACTGCTTCTGCTCCCAAGCTCCCAAGCACGCATCGAGTGAACAACCACCGCGAACATGGTCTTCGTGTTGAACATGGTCGAACATCAACATCGGGACCATGGACAAACCACATATACTGTGTATATATATATATATATATATATTTATTATTTAACCATGATTCCTTCAGTCAGTGTCGTCATGCACGCACCAGCGACGGATCACGCACCGAGCATGCACCAGTGCGCGAGTCGACCGTCGACCGCTAGAACGCGTCGACCGTTCGTCCTGCATCTTGGTGAGGGTCTGCGGCTGACCTTTGGGTTCTCGGAACTGGTGCTCCTCCACCTGCCGAGCGCTGCTCCCACCCACAACCACCTTCCACATCCTTCCACATCCATCCCACCCATGTGCTTGTTTGGAGCGCTGCAGACGTCTCTGGGTGTCTGACAGTCAGCTCCGGCGGATGATCCACTGACTTTCTCAAAAAGACATGACAACTCTTGGTTCGCGAACATGCAAGTCATGGCGAGGTCAACGCACACGGCAGAGGTGATTGGAGCGAATGCATGCGCCACATGCGCCGCGCTGCACGCGCCGCATGCGCCTCCCTCTCCTGGTTTCTGATTGACAAGGGCACGTAGTAGACGTCCCCCTGAGCCCGCAACTCCTGACCAGGCGCAGGCGCAGGAGGTTGACTTCATGTGAAGAATGTTCGCCTTGTTCCGCCCGAGAGGCTAGCAGTAACTTTGACCATCCCTCATTCAACCCAGTGAATCATCTCCATCTTCCAACTCGCCAGAAACCTGGACCTTCTGAACACCTTGGCCCCCACGGACTTCTTCCACGTCGGCCGGTCGGTGCCTCATTGTCGCGCTTGAGCAACTCCCTCCGCGTCTCGAGCAACCTCAGCTCGACGAGGCGCAGCAGGGGCGGCACCACCTTTGAGAGACCACACTGGTGTGGGGCTTTAAGACTGAACGCCTGGTGAACAGTGGGGGGGGTCCGTGACCGCAGGAATAGACGGTAGTGCTTGTGACAAACAGAAAGCTCAAAGCAGAAACATGTTGCTTCATTTGTGGACTTTGCTTCAGTTTGAGGACACCTGCGATGTTTTTCCGAAGAATGCACCAGCATTTGGCCCAGCACAAAGCGCCACAACCAGATCAACGCCCCCGCTTTGACGCTCCAGGGCCACCAGCTGGCTACGTGTGCGAAACATGGGTTCCTCCGTCCGCGCGATGCCCACGGTCCTGACGAGTACGTATGGCGCAACTTGGTGGAAGCAAAGAGGAGGTGAATGGACGGATTGGTTCACCTCAGAAAAGAAAGTCGGAGAGCCCGGCCTGTATGGGCCCCATTTGGAGTTGCAAGGTTGTAGCTATGGATTCCACCGCTTTTCCAGTGCTTTTCAGAACTTCCATCAACATTCTCACCACAACAGCCCTGCTGAACCCGGCGCGGCGGTCTTGTACTCACGCTCAGGATTCACCGGGTAGCTCATGGGCATCAATCCACCGCGCACCCGCGCCAACTGGCAGGCGGCATGGATGGAAAGGGCGCGGTTTCAGGTGGTCTGTGTGGGCGCATTGTAGAAACGGACAACGGCGGTTTTGGTCGTTTCCTTTGCTTTATGACTTTATGCTCCCAAAAGTCGGGAGCGGCAGGTGCATCAAACCACTGAAAGCAGGTCTATAGGGAAATGCACTGCTTTCGTCATCAACTGGTGAGAAAAAGATAAGCTGACTGCGGTTGAAGAAACTCTCAGGTGGCCAAAGAGGCTCAACTGTTTATAGTCAGTTTGAAGGGTACCAGTGTTCTTACAGCAACAGCAACCACAACAAACACATCTTGATTCCCTTTTGAGATGCATTTCCTATTCATTTCTGCTCCTCATTTCATCTCCATCTCCCCAGAAACGGCGTCCAGCCACGCCTGGTGATCCGCTTCCGCGCGCTCGCGGATGTGGCTGATCGGGCAGCTCCGCGGCTGCGTCTCATGGTTCGGCGGCTGACGCTCCTTCACCTCGGAGGGGTCAGGTGGTTCAGCGCGGAAGGCTGGCGAGGGTGGTAGCGGTTCGGTGATGCGGCTGCTGTAGAATTGGTATGAATTGGTTGGCACATACGTTATGTCGAGCGAAAAGGAGTGAAAAAGGCCTTCTGAAACCGAAACGATGCAAATTTCAGTCCAGTGGTCGGTATAGGATTCGGTTCGTCAATGTGGACTTGGGTCAAAGGCCCCCACATGTGGCTTCAGAATGAGCTGAATGGATGAAAGCTGCATCACCGTCGCTCTGGGAAGAAGATCACGCAGCGGGTTGCGGCGTGGATAGCTTGCGCACCAAAGAAAGAATATGTATCCGACTGCGTGTAACTTGCGAAGAAGTCACTCCAAAAAGCATCCCGTTACGCTAGCCCTAAAGACCTCACCAACTGAGATTCAACACAAGACACAACATAAGAACCCATCATTTCTGCCAACAGTAATAAGAGACCATCCCAGCAAATCTTCACCCACCCAGTACAAAAGAAATGATCCCCTTCGGCTCTTTAGCTCTTCAGCTCGGTGCTCGGGCAGGCTCACAACGCGCCGCCCAATTCTCCCCGTTGATGAGACCCGCGCCCTTCGCCTCGAGCGCAAGGACCACGCGCGAACGTGGAACGTGGTGCACCCCCCTGCACCTTGGGGGGTCCATAATTACTTGGAACGTGCAACCTGGCATGTTGGAATAGAAAGACCAACAAAGCAACTGGCCATTGATGCTTTGAAGAGACGTACCCGACCGCGAGAAGCAACTAAAGGGAGTTGGGCTATGGCTCTGAAAATGTCGGATCTACAACGAAAACAGTGTCTCGTCATTCCCTGAATCGGATGCACTTCTCACGTCTCCATCTTTGGCAGCTAGAGGTGCATGAATCTTTCAGCAACCACACATCAGAGGAAGAAGTTTTTGAGTCTTAAAAATTATTGGAAATTCAAAACGTGCAACCCCAAACAACCGCTTGATGAAAAATCTGAATCCAACCAACATGAAGCTTGCAAAGTCGGAAGAAGTGCATATTTCTTTGTGATGAGGTTAGCAACAAGCGCTGGCTGCCGCACGCCAAAATGCCTCAAAAAGAGCAATGAGAGAAGTTTGTACATTGGAATGTCAGGTTCAGAGGAAAAACAAAACAGCCCGCCGGGGTCGCCCCCAAACCAGAAAAAGGAGAAAACGGAACAAACACCAGGTGAGTCGATGCCGTCGATATCGTCGATGTCGATCGCCCCTGCCTCTGCCTTTCGGGTCTCTTTCAAGGTGGTCTTGGTGTAGTGTTCTGGCACTTTATGCGCGTTGAAATGGGGTGGGTACCTCCGCAACGGGTAAGACGATCCGAAGCGACATCTGCGGCATGAAGAAGATCCAACCCAAACGCGACATGAGAGGAGAGGCGGAACTTGGGCAGAATGTGTTTTTTCGTTTGCTTGCATCTGATGCGTGCTTGAGGAGCTCTCCTTCCACCTACCCATGTTCCAGATTTTGCCAGTGCCGAGAGGTGATGCTTGGTGCTCGTTGAAGAGAGTGGGGCACGTGGACACACTGGCTTCATTCTGGTTGTCAGGGCCACAAATGACCCCTCGCTTCTGCTTGATCTCAGCAGTACAAAATGTATGATGGAGATTGACGGAAATCTCTGCCTTCCCAACTTGGGCACAGCAAAATTCAAATTCTCTTCGGCGTTATTTGTCCATGTCACACCTATGCATTTCTGTTGTCACCTCCCGGTGCGTTAAGCTCCCTGCTGGCCCACATTTGTGAACCTGTGCAGGAGCTCGGCACCCACAGCTGGTTTCCTTCAAGTCTGAAACCACCGTTCTGGTCTTTCCATAGATCACAACCTTTCACCCCTCTCAACCCTCAAAACGGCCCGCAAAAAAGAAGCAACCAAAAGCCCGCTCGCCAAGACTCCATGGGGCCGCCTGGCCAGTCGAGTCCAAGCCACGGACGAACTTGTCCAAGAAGCCCTTCTCGAGCGCCTGGCCGGCGAGAGCCAGAGCGAACCCGTTTATAAAAAGAAGACGCGCACCGGGAGCCAGCGACGGAAAGGCTTTCTGTGATGGTCTGTGTCTGTGATGGTCTGTGTGTGTTCTGTCTGGAAATCACCAACCAACTGAAGGCTTCACTCCAAAGAACACCTACTCCCTTGGTGCTTCTCTCTGAAACCGATCCACTGGACCCGAACTGGATCGGACCCACGACCTGACGCGGCCGCCTTCTCGGCGCGTTGCCGCTCGCCGGTGGTGAGTCGGCCATCGGCATCTTGATCGAAGCATTTGCCAATGAAGTAGTCAAGCTGCCCGACCACACCATCACCTGAGTTCATGGAGTTCATCCAAAAAAATGTCACTTCAATGGGCTAAGTCTCAGTTCCTTTTTAAAAAAGACATCCTCTCCAAAGGATCCTCTCCGTTTCGCTCGCTCCGAGCTCGCCGAACCTTTCTGCGGAGAAACGGCTCTGCAAAAAGCTCGCTCGCTCTCCGACCCTCGCCCCGAAAGACTTGGCCGTTGGACGGTGGCAACTGGTTTGGTCTCGTTTGCTAGAGCAGTTTTGTTCGTTTGAATGTGTGTGTGTGTGTTGTTTTGTGTCCTATTGGTGTTTGTGAAAACAAACACATGTTAGTTCTATGTTTCTTTTGAGTCAAGAGGTATTCAAACTGTCAAGGCACCATCAAAGTCGTAGCTCTTCACCTCCGGTATTCGGCCCTGCTTGCGAGCCTCCGGCACCATAACATCGGGTCAAAACATTGGCATCTCAATAAACCAACATCTCAATAACACTGGATGTGGTCTAAACACTGGGCATCTGAAGGCCGATTTCTCTTAAGTCCCTGGACAAACGTCAAGCTCCATAAAACTCAGAAGTCAGGAGCATAAAACTCAGAAGTCAGGCGGGTTGACCCAGACATCTCCTTAATTTGGTGAAGAAAAGACACCACTGGACGTCGTCAGTCTTCTGCGCCTGTTGAAGCTCAGCTCTTGATCGAATGGCCGGAGGATCATCGAGCCTCACAGGCCGGAGGATCCCGAAGACAGCCTTCAAGCCGGCCGTTCCCCCGCTGTGTCTTAAGAGTTCACGTCTTCTGATTCCAACAAATAGACTTCCAATGAAGCCTGAAATCTGCTCCATCAGGTCTGATGTTGGATGCTATCGGATGGTTCGTACTCTCACCGTTGAGGGTGTCTTGAAAGGTGGTAGGTCAAACGCCCGCGGCGTGGCGTGGCCGCACGTCGTCATCGTGGTCCAACACAGGCCGGCAGCGCCACTTCGGATGGCTGATCTCGGAGGATCGAAGCACGGAAACGAACGAAGGATCGTCGAATCGAAGCTCTCACGGATGGATTCTGATCTCGTTCGTCAGAAGAAATTCCTCAGAAAAACACATATATTTGTATAGGGGCGGGGGGACCCTTGTGGCCCTGGTTTGGGTTGACGGGATTTGACTGGTGGCCAACTGCCCGAACCTTCCCCCAGGGGGGGTTCGGAACGCCGGTGGGCGGTTCGGTCGGACTGAGCGTCTGAGTCACCGACGTCTTTCTGCACGAAGTGGGACTTGTCCTGCGGAGGGGGTCTTGGGATGTCTTGGGTCAGTGACCGGAACTGCAAAGGTCAGCAGGGTAGAAAAAGGCCAGAAACTGACCAGCAGCTACCAGCTATCGTAAGCACTCACTTCCTCCCAGCTACCAGCCTTGAAGGGCTTGCTGTGATGATGATGGCCAAAAATATCATAGTTGGGCACGGTGTATGGTCCCTGGCGTGTTTGAACGTGGCATGAAAGTGGAACAAGACACCATGGTCGTTCCTGACTCGTTTCTCACGTGGTTTCTCCAAGAACATCGAAAGGGAGACGTCTTTCTCCGAAGCTGCACGTTTCATTCAGAAAGCATTCAGTCAAGTGCCAAAGCGACCGGCTCCGACATGGCGCAAGAAACCCATCCAAGTGGTGTGAAACAGTGGACGTTTAAAACTTCTGGCAAAGGTCTACAGGGGTTCAAGTGTCGTGTGTGTGTGTGGCTAATGTGAAAAACTGTCGGGCTAACTACCTCTTCTCTCTATCCTTTGGGCCGCACCAACAAACGAAAATCTACAAAGCGGTCTCTCATGGCAAGCTCACCATGAGCTTGACGACAACAAGTTGCTGCATACCACGCATGGTTCCTTCAGCTCTTTTCCCACGCCTGCCAGATGATGAATCAGTGAGACGGCTGCTCAAATAGCAGGCCTATGGAAAAAAGCTAAAGAGCTGTTGGGCTTACACTGTAGCTGGACACAATTCAACGGATGGAAGCTTGACATCTTCGACGTCTCTGCTTGAAAATGTAAATGACATCGGCATTGAAATGGTATGAAATCTCAAGCAGCTGATGCGACGATCGTGGCCCATGAAACAAATGTCACACTCGTAGGATCCGAAACAATGTTTGAAAGAAAAACTCTGCGGAATCCCCCAAGCAACTCGCTGCAAGAGTAGTTCAACCTCAGAAATACGAAGCTAAAACACTCAACGACTTAGCAGGTCAGCGGCACCGGCAGCCAAAGAACTGACAATGGCTCCAAGTTGTTCCCCGTCTCACACAGTCCACGAGCATACCCTGGACCTATGGCAGTGCCTATAAAGCCCAGCGTAAACTCGCTGATGCAGGCGATGGCTGACAGCTGACTGATGAAGCTCATCTCTCTCAGGCCGTGCAGAACCAATGCTGGCACCAGGGCCCTTTCCTGTGAGACGGAGGAGCTTTTGACAAAAAGGAAGCATCACCCCATTTAACCAAAAAAAATGAACTGAGCTACTGTCCCCCGAAAATGTTCCATCAAAAAACCGACCCCAACTTTGGCCTTTCTTTCCGTTTTGGGTTCTGCGCACCCCCCCGGCTCCGCGCCTGTCCCAGGATCCGCCGCAGCCGCGAGTGCCACGAGGAGCGACGGCCGCCCACGGCGTGCACGGAGCCCAGCAGCTCAGGCGTCTGAGTCGAGCAGACCACGTCCATCTTCGACTTCGTCGCGGATTTCTCGGACCTGAACTCTTCCAGTCGCCGCTCCTGCGGAGTTCGGTACAGTCGGTACAACCGCTTTCGGTGGGATGTCTCGGTGAAGAAAAGAAAGCTCGGTGCGAGGTCGGTGGCTTTCTGACAATGTCTTCTTTGAAGTAAGGCGTATCCTCTGATATAAACCCGAAATTGAAAAGCAAAGCTGAGCATGAGATGCCCAAGACTCCCCGCTATCCTGCAAAATCTTAGGAGCAAGGACGCTACTAGTAGCTCCTGGCATTACTACTAGAAGCAATGTTCGCTACTAGGAACAGAGGGCATCGCAGCCCGAACGGAGCGATCGGACGCTACTAAGTGGCACTGAAACCAAACAAATTCACAACCTGACCTCCTCGGCGGATGACCGCACCGGACGAAGCTCCACGCTGATCAGCCTGGTAGGATCATCGGAACGTCCTGGTTGACTGTGCAGCACCTCGGGTGGCAGAGGGCCGACCGGCAGCCACTCATTGATCACGATGTAGTCCTCTAAGCCCTCAAGGAGGAAGAGAACGGGCAGCGCACAAGTCGCTGAAAGATTGAAGATGGGCGCATAGGGTCCATCCCAAGAGATGTCAACGTAGTAGATGGCTCTTGAAGCTGCAAGGGCTAAGGGCACGATGAATCGGATATAGCCCCCATAGATCTTCACTTCATCATGAAGCTTGGACCAGGCAGTGGGCGCTGCAATGGCTAGTGCTATGCGTACTCCCAGAAGCCTTTTGGACAGTTGGAAGGCCAACCACCGCATCCATCCAAGTCGAGCAAGGACGTTCAGGGTGATCGTCAAAAATGCAGACCCCAGCCATGTGAACTCTCCCCCACGCACAGCGCTCGAAAACATTCCCACAAGGCGCGCAGACTCAGCATAGCTGTGGGAAGCAATAAGCATCCAAGGCATATTGATGAGAGCTGTGTCGCCAGGGACTGCAGGGCGCTTTGCAACGACAAAGGCTGAGTAGATGGTCTTGGCATAGAGGACGCATGCAGGCTCAGCTAAAGCAGTCGCGATGGGCAGGAACAGGGTGGCCGCTGTCTGCTGCTCGCTGTCAAGCAAGAACGTGTAGACCAGGATGATGCCAGATGCAAGTGCTCCAGGACCAGCTGTTCCTGAAATGTTTGCCAAAGTAAAGCCCAGACACGCCGGAAATCGGCGGTCAGGGTGAATGCCTCTGGTTCGGTAGTACAAAAAGCCTGGACCTAGAATGCCAATCACCGTGCCGGCCAGAATGGACGAAGCCAAATCACCTGCTTGCAAAGCACTTGCTCCGACACAGACCACAATTCCTGCAAAAATGCCTACGGCGTGACTGAGGCACGTGGGTGGCAGGCCTGCAAAGCTGAAGGAAAAGGTCTCGCTCAGACCCCACGAGCAAAAAAGCGCACCATTGATCAACACCAACAAGACCCTCCACCATGGAAAGTCCCCGTTTTCAGCATGCCTTTCGAAGTGGATGGAGACTACCCCCCGAGCAGTATGCCATAGCAGTAACAGGACAAAGGACAGCATCATATAACGTAAGGAAAAGGTTCCGCAGGCTTTGAGATCCGGGTTGATGACCTGAACATCGAATTCCTGGGCCACCTGCATATCCGGATTTAAAATCACCTCTCCGGACATCTCAGCCTCAATGCGGCCTTCTCTGTCTAAAAGACGGATGTGATGCATGCGCCCATCGGTCCGCAGAATGTCGAGTGTTTCGTCTGCCTCCAATCGAAACGAATCCGGGCCCGTGGTCGACCAGTACGTGCGGAAGGTGCTTCCCCCAAAGCGCTTCGCGAAGTTCGTGGACTTCCGTTTGGGCGGCTGCCACAGAAAGCAGCCCTCGAGATCTTCGAAGGCTCGGACCAAGACACGACCGCCACGACCGTCATCGGTGAGAACGTGCAAGAGTCGACCCCCTGCATCCAGCCGCCTTTTGGCCAAGACCTCTTCGGCCCGGGTCCCAGGACCAACCACAATCAGGCAGTGATCCCGATAGCCTTGTCTGTCCAATGTCAACAAGTTGCTCATTGGTCATTGCTTCAGGATCAGGTACTAAAAAGCTTGAACCTTCAGCCGCATGAAGCATCGACAAATGATTTTGCCTGAAAAGGCAGGTCCCTGAAGTATGTTCCACAATGGCTATGGAGTGCCTCTGTTTCCCCTATCCTTTCATTCCATAGTACCTCGGATCGTCCCAAAGCTACCATGAAATAAACATCGCCAAAGCATCAAAAGCCAGTTGTAGTCCTGTTTGCGCAGTCTGGCAGCTGAAACAACTGGTCACCTTACTGCATCCACACCAGACCAAAAAAATGACATCAGTTTCCAGTCAAATCCAATCATACATCAAGAAGCAACCAACAAAAGCATGACGCAAAGTCAAAGAACAGGCCCACAGAACAGAATTATGCAAGTGGTGTGCTAAGTTCAAATGCTCTAGCGCAAAAAACAGCAGGTCAAGATAGTAAACAAGTCTTGTCTTGGCCAATTATGTTGGAAAACTCGGTCCACCAATGATTGTGTGTGCAACCGAACAACAAAAACCAAAGGAACTTGCCATGCTGATTCAAAACACATGTCTTATCATACACTCCGCACTGCATAGATAAGTGCAACTTTTGCGCCGTCAGTTTGACTTCAGTTGTCATCCTTTCATTTCGTTTGTGCGTGATTCAATGTGATGGTATTGGCGATATGCAGGTCGTTTCGCAACGACAACCGCCCGTGGCTCAGGGACAGAGGCTTCAAGGTGCCTCTTCTGACAAATTGTTTAATTATGCCTTGCACGCATGCAATTTACAAGCATTGTTGGACCTTTTTCGACACCCTTGAAACTGACTTTACAAAGTGTTTGATCGAGACAACACTTGTCAATTCAACGTTTGATTTCACAAAGCAAGACATCAGCGCTCCTTTTTTCTCTTACGAGACATTGGGGTGCGGTGCACGGCCTGTAGGCCACTGGGTCTGGCTCTGTGAAGCTTGTGAAGAACTGCTTGCTTGAAATGTGCGCTTGGATCGCACTGCTTTCGAACAAAAGAGCCTGAGTGCTCAGAAGCGAGGAATAGCCAAGGTGTGGGTGGGTGGGCGCTTTTGGGCAAACGAATCGGCGCGCCCACCCACCCAGCACTTGAACCAGCGCAAAGCGAAAGCGAATGTGAAATCCGGGTGCTTCCACCCTAAAACTAGAAGTGACAACTCGATCCCCTACGGTGAGCTTCATTGTCAATTCAACGCTTGATTTCACAAAGCAAGACATCAGCGCTCCTTTTTTCTCTTACGAGACATTGGGGTGCGGTGCACGGCCTGTCCCCCTTCAAACGCAAGCACCCCAAGATCTCGCAAACACTGCATGATGTCATCGAACGAAACTTTGGCTGGCAGGCTCTCGGACAATTCGGGTTTGAGCATGGGATGCGCTTCTCCTCTGGAAGGGAAGTCACTTATGTTGGCTTCAGTAGGCACACGAGCGAACCAAGCCTGAGAACTGTTTAAGGCTTCATGCTCTAGATGGATGCGCATCAAGGTCTGCGCAACGTCACCTTCGGCAGAACCTTTTATGAGGGAGAACCTGACGGCTTCATTGTCACCGAACCATACTTGAAGGCCACACGAGATTTTGCTGTTCCAAAATTTTAACGCAAGGACTCCGGCAAACAACTCTAGTTCATAAATGATGGTGTCTTTGGCGGAGGCACCAAGCTCTGGACAAGTCTTAGAGTCAACACTGAACCCAAACCAAGAGACACACTCACCTTGGTCATTGGCAAGAACACCTCCAATGCTGCCTGTTTTGTTGCCCTGCTCATATGAAGCATCGGAGTAGATGAACCGTTGTGCAAGCCTGTGAGCACGAACCACTCGTGGTTTGCCTGAGTTCAAACGTTCAAGCATGAAACGAAGGGCATCTCGCAAGCTCTCATCGATTTGCTTTTGGGCCCCGTAGGCATATTCGATTAGCTTACTTAGCACTAAGATCCCTAAGCGACCGTGGACGAAGCTGTCTGCAAATCCTAGTTTACCTCTAAGCACCAAAGCTTCGGGACGCGTCAACGTGCCTCGGTCCAAGGCAGCTTGCAACAATTCTTTCAGCTCCAGCTTTCGTTGCTCAGTGTTCTGGATCATCAACTTTCGCTCCGAGGACAAAGAAAAATCAAACACAACACCGAGGGCACGGCACAGAGTGGAGAACTCCGTTTTCTTTTTCCCTTCCCGGGCGAACTCCCAACCTGTCAGCAAGAAAACCAGCTCCATGGCGTGCTTTGCACTGTCCTGAGTCTCGGCCCTAGAAACAAGAACAAAATCGTCATAGAAGTTGGTGTTCATTACAAACAGTCCTCTCGCAGCGATGAAATGAAGCATTTTCGCAAACCGCAGAAAACAGTATACACTATGAGTAGCCCCAAAAGGCAAGGTCTGCATCTGATACACTTCAGCCTGCTCCGTTTCATGGTTGAAGACGCTGAAGTATGCATACTTGAGATAGGACTCCCGGATGGGAATCTGTCGGTAAGCGCTCTTTAGATCATATGTCTTGGCAACCAAGGAACTGTCAAGCTGTCTCTCCGCACAGTACCTGAAATATTGGTTTGCCAAGGCCGCCAGCGTGTCATACGCAGATCCACTTTGTTGTGGGCCGCACAAGTATCGTTGATTCCGCTGACAGAATATTCGTCGATCACTCGAGCCTTGCTGCTTTGCTGCAGCAGAAACCTTCTGGAAACAACGGCATCCTTCTCGAGCTCCTGCAGTTTGAACGGGCCCGAGTGGTGGTCCTGGATGAGTAAAGACAGTACAGACGTGTACAGTGATTTTTTTTTGCACGAGTGGAGGCGCTGTGTGTGCAGGTTATGCACAAGTCACCTTAGTCGAGTGAATAGAGAGTTACCAACCAGGTTGCAACCCAACTAAGAAAAGAGGAAACACAACCAAGCCCCCCAAAACCCAAAACCCACCAAACACCCAAAAAACACCGGAAAGGGAGCAACCTGTAAAGTAACTCGAAGTGCCAAGAAGGCATGAAGAGAGGTGAAACAGGGGCAGTGAATTCAGCAAAGCACTCAGAAGTTCTTGTCCATCGACGAACTGGCAAGCAGGTGAGCAAGAGCAGGCACATCAAAGCAAGATCTGCAGCCCACAAAGGTAACCATCAACCATCTGCGGTTGATTTATTGCCAGGACCTTGCTTGGACAGGCTTTGCATCAGAGCACGAAAGAGTCTCATACCGACATCAATGTGCGCTTACATGCATGGTCCACAAGATTTCATCTTGGACTCGTTTTAGGTCAGATAACCTGCTTGACGGCTGGCAGCAACGAGCCTCGTGCAAGCCAAAGAGTGACTACCTGGGAAGACCACAGTCCCCATGCTCGGAATGTCCAACATAGCGATAGTGAAGACCGTGTAATGCCACTGGCGAGCTTTCAAAAAGAGGCCAAGGGAGTTGCTTCCCCGTACCTCCCCCCGAGGGGGAGGCAACAAAGGCAGCACGTCAAACACTCCACTCCAGAAACGGCTCATCACCGAGAGCAAAAGCAAGACATGCTGCGGGGGAAAGGCAAAATCCTTTGAAGTGTGCTGCAAGAAAGTCGCAATTGGAAATCTGACTACATCTTTCAAACGCGGCCAGGTAGTATCGTGAATGACAGAACCACCTGACCCTGCGTTGCCATTCAGCCTCCGATAGGGCATTGTGCCACGGAATCACATAAGGCATTGCCTTTTTGTCCACGAGGCCCGCCAGGTATCCTCGTCGGTAATAGCTCCGGAGGAGGTGCTGAGGGGTGGCAGTCAAAGTACCTCTTTTGGCCAGAAACTGCCAGTTGGGCCTTGAGAAGACTACCGCCAGTCCTGTGAGGAGCCAATTTGGAGATAATCTCATACTTGTTGCCCGTACACCTGGCAGCATATGTGTCCTTGGCTCTGAGCAAGAGGCTTTGCCGAAAGGAGAAGCATCCTTGCCCCTCCGGCGCCACATACTTCTCATCCTCTTCCTCCTCAGCTCCCTCATCGGCATCCGTTGCATCGGCAGGCTCTGCCGTCGTGTGGTCTTGCGCTTGCGTTTGTGAGGCAGGCGCTACGTTTCCGCTATGATCCCTTTTCGGGGGAGCGGGAGGGATAGCCCCCAAAGCCTCCAACAGGCGCTGGGCCTGGGCCGGGGGGCAGCACGGCTTGCCGTATTTCTGGCCACACTGGTACTTCAATTCGCAGGGTGCTCTTGTAGGTGGACTGAAAAGATGTCCAAATTGCCATCTAAGAGTCCTTGCTCATATGCCCCTTCGAGACTTGGTGTGTCTGGAAGGCCCGCAAAAGTATTAGAGGGACACAGGCCTTCACATGTGCCTACGACAATGTATGGGCTGTTAGTTTCACTTTCGCTGTTGTGCTTGTATTTATTGTCGTCCTCTGGGGTGGCATCTGTGAACTGCAAGTCTGTTTTCATTCGTTCCACTAGTTTGTGCACGAGTTGGACTGGGAAGTAGACATGCAGGTGGTGGATGGGGAACCCAGGCGAACGCACATCAACAAAGGAGGAAGTCACAACTCAGGAAATATACCTCCAGGAGGCGGATGACCAGCCGGGGCCAGTCGATGCTGACATCACCCATCTAGCAGAGCAGAGAGCAATGCAAGTGGTACTTCGGTACCAAATGCTGTCAGTCGAACGCATTACCCAGACAAGTCCCCACACTGCAGAGCCACCCACGGCGCCTCCAGTCAGCCTGTATGCTAACTTGCCACAAGAGTGGCCCCTAGCACGCCTCAGTGTGCAGCTGCGCCATATAGGGGTTTTGCTGAGGGTTACCCTCTACCGCCGAGCAGCTGAACTCAATTTTCGCGGGGTTGATTTTCGACACCTACCGCGAGAAGTTATGCGAAGCGTCTGCAATGACTTCAATCTCGTCGGGGAATTGGCCAGACGGCTTGCGTCACTTTTTGCATTTCTTAAACCAGCCCCGGGCACTGACACACAAGCAGACCGCCTAGGACTGTCGCTATATGCAGAACCGGCCTACTGGCTCTACGGTCTCTTGTCCTTTTGTGCCAAGGCCTGTGAATCCAAAATTGAGGAAGCAAATGGGGCCCCGGTACTGAGAGCAAAGGATGAGGGAGGCGCGCCAGACACCGAAGCCACAGGCCGGACCATAGCACTAACGCAGACAGTGGTGATGTCCTTTGGACGGAATCAAAGCCTAGGCAAGCCGGACCTCTCAGTAGCTGCCTCTGGCATTTGTGGGTTTGCGGCACCAGTTGTGGACGGCCTAGCCGCAGCGATGCTTTGCAGGCCTGTAGCAGGCATTGGCGGTGTGTGCAGCCGAGACTGGAGTGCATCGATTAGGCCTTGTTCTGGGGCCCGTTCCTGCGGTTCTGCAGGCAGTCTGGCCGCTTTGGACTTGACTGCAAGGGGAACCTGCATCTTGGGCCGTGCGGTTGCTTGGGGGGCGGGATCCTGCATTGTCCTCCTGCTTTCCGGCCCCGCCAGGCTGGTGGTCTGGGTCTACTCCGTGAGGAGGGGCTGCTGAGACGGCTGGCAAGCTTGATCCCAATCTATTTCGCCTCGTCTTCTCCTCTGCAGGGGGGTGAATGGGGCTGGTATTCGAGGGAGATGCAAGAGGGCGACCACACGGGTGACCACCATTGCTCTTTTCCAAATAGCAGGCCACTGTTATGTATTTTCCGTGCACAGGGTGCTGCTCATCTAGTAGCGACAGTTCCCCCTTGGTGAGGTGAGTTTGCGATGTGAGGACTAGCCTGAGTCGCCGGGAAAGGCCTTGGTGGAACTCGACAAGACAGACAGAGAGCGATCCAGTCCAGAGTGGCTGTGGTTCCACCGCCGCGAGAAATCAGCCGTGGATTCAGACACCCACTTCCATTTCACCGGGAAGTTGCCCTCCACAAAAGCTTTGGATGTCTGTTGATCGTTCGTGTACACTGTGCACACCCCATGGAGCAGGGCAGAGAGGACCTGTGACACTCCTGTAGTTCCATGCATATTGACCGGGCACGCAGAGATTGTGAGGTCTGTGGCTCGATGCTAGACCACAGACTCGGGAAGAGCTTGGCGACGCGCAGGCACAGGCGCAAAGGAGTTTGTCCCACCAGCTTCCCTTCCCAAGCCTCGTCCAAGAAGCCTTGCGCCGGGTTACGGCAGTGTGGCAGAATACCCATGCACTCCTGCACACCATACAAAACAACCCGCTGTTGGGCCACAGTCAGGCCCATCAAGGTGGAGTTCGCGCGTGTCAGGAAATTTGTGC